CGAGATGAAGATAACAAAAAGTAAATGAAAGCAAAAACAAGTGGAGAGAGAATCTCGTAAAAAAGATTTGAATTGAACCTGAGAATTTTGCATTGGGGCCACTTATGATGTGTGGCACTCCACAGCTAAACGAAATGAAAATAACAAAAAGTAAATGAAAGCAAAAACAAGTGGAGAGAGAATCGTGTAAAAATACAATTGAATTGAACCTTTTGGGGCCACTTATTATGTGTGGTACTCCACAGCTAAACGAGATGGAGATAACGTTAATGTTATCGAAAACCAGTGTAAAAATACAATCGAATTGAACCTGAAATCTTGGCATTGGAGCCACTTATGATGTGTGGAACGCCACGGCCTGAGTGAGATGAAAACGACGAAAAGTAAATGTAACAGAAGCAAATAAAGGAATAATTTCCCAAGAGCAAAAACCGACTGCCAGGGGCTTTATTTAAATAGAGGAATATGAAAGTGTTTTTTTTTTGTTTTTGTTTTATTTTTATTTTTTTGTTTGTTTTTTTGTTTGTAAGTAAACGAGTAGGTGAGATTGTCAGAAACGAATGAGATAAAACATGATATAACAAAATAAGAGTAAAATAGAATATAAATAGAATAAAAAATCGAGAATATACTATATTTTAACAAACCTTATTCAAGCTACATATTTATTTTCTATTGAGATAAAATATGTTATAGCAAAATAAAAGTAAAATAGAATAAAATATAAATAAAATAAAAGATCGAGAATATACTATATTTTAACAAACCTTATTCAAGCTACATATTTATTTTCTATTGAGATAAAATATGTTATAGCAAAATAAAAGTAAAATAGAATAAAATATAAATAAAATAAAAGATCGAGAATATACTATATTTCAACAAACCTTAATCGTTAAGATATTCCAGCTATATATATATATTTTCTTGTTTTATATATTTTGAACTCACCTTCTTTTTCCTCATCTTGTTCAGGTCGCTAATCAGTTTTCAACGATCGAAAGCTTAATACTAGTAAGAGAAAGTGAGTTTTGACCTTTTAGAACTAGGAGCTGATCGCCATGCTAAAATCTAACACTTAAGTAAAATTGACTCAAATGACTAAGAAAGAAAAACAAATTTTCACTACCTTTGAGTTAAGTCTTTATCGTGTCTCTATCGTATCTTCATCTTGTCTTTTTTCTTTTTATTTAATATTTAAAACATTATAATAATGGTCATCGAAAAAGGCTGAATTTTTTTCTCATCTGAACCCCTCCAGATGTTTGACCAAGATTTGGATGCGAGAGAGCAATAATGAATCCTACATGAACGTACTCTGGTGATTAAGTATAAATAATATTGCACATGTGTCACGGCTAGTAGCGGGTATTCAGGCCTACAGTTTCAGGAAATTGATTTGAAGACCAGAAGATCAAACTCTAATTTAAAATAGATTGGTTCGAATTAATTGATTTTGTAATATCATGAACTCAGAAAAAGGTACTCAGCTTTGATGTGTCAATTGACATTTCTATCACCATCTTGCCTGAAAATAATAATTCAAACAAACAACGGTGGATTTCGAACAAAGGCGGAATTCTTTGCGAGGGTCGTTTAGACTAAAAAAGGATTTAATGTTTCGCATCCGAGTTAAAATTTTGAAGGCAACTTCACACGCAACATTTAAGGTACAAGTTAGGGTACACGTTTGCCTACATGGTATATTAATACAAGAGATAACACCAATAGCACGTTTGTATGATGGCGTCATTTGACTCCCACTACCAAGATGCTTCGCGAATTTTCTTTCTTATTTAAATTTGTATTCCCTCATGGGAATAGTGAGACAATTGGTGCTAATTCACTGAACAAAAGAAAGTGTGCAATGGAGTCTGGTAGTAGAGGTCAATGACGCCATCATGCAAACGTCCTATTTAAACAAATTAGTCTATATCAGGAGTAAAGTTGAGGGAAAACTGGGTCGAGTGGGCATTATAGTGCATTGTGGGACTGTATTAGGACTGTATAAAAAACTGATACAAACAGAAACATTTCATCAATGATTACACTTTGAACTGAAGCAAAAAGAGAAACAATATAACTGAACTGTCTTTATAGGAAAACTGATTTAATAGAAAAACTGATTTAATAGGAAACCAATATTAACTGAAGTGATTATTTTTTATTATAGTCGTTGTTTCATGAGAGTGACGATACTCTCACGCCAACCACCATGTGGTTCATGCGTCAGAGAACGTGAAAAAGAGCACGAAAAATGAGAAAAAACAATATCGGAACTCACACACTTTGACCACTTCAACTTTTCAAAGATAGATTGATAATCATTGCAAAGGTCGGTGTTACATAGCCACTAAAAACTGACTGATATCAACCCACAATACCTCTACTAAACTTAGTCTTAATTCGTTAGTATTTGATTTAGCCCAGTTAAAGATTCCTATTTCTGGGTATGCTATAGTTACCCCTCAATTGATGGGATTTTCGAATAAACAATATCCCTTCTTTGAGCCACACTCGCGGATATCAGATATCAATGACAACTGCTCTTTCAAATTGACTCTTGTTATTAACGATGGTCTCTTGACAAAATGAATCATTCTTGTACTCAAAACGTGCTTGAAGTTTCAAAGTGTTGACGTTTTTTTGTTCTTATATTGCAGCTGGCATTTATGAATAATTTATTGCTGAAATGAAGCTAATTTGCAGAGGTATTTAATGAATGCACCTTTCATGTTTTCCCGACCCCAATGTCGATGGCAGAGCCCGTATTTCACCTTGTCAGCTTATTGCATTTTTCTCCGACCCGATGAAAATGTCGAAAGCAGAGCCCGTATTTCTTCTTTATGTTTTATTTATAACGGGCACTATGAGGGCCCGGAAATACGTCATTGAGAAACAACAGTAGCACCAGGATTCTTCGTGGCGTTAATTCGTTACCAGTTTTCCCTAGGACTCTAGGGGTCATTATGATTGCCTATGGAGTTGTTGCAGGGTAACACTCGCTTGCGGAATTCGTTACCAAATTTTTTCATTTCTGAATGAAAATATAATAGGGTTTAGAAGAGAGTTGATTCCAAGGCATGTTATAGCCATGGTATCCCAGAGAATGTCCTTGACTCGATTCGTTATGTAGTTTGTTAATGGTGAAATTTTTAATGCCGTTGTAAGGATCAGTGGTAAAATAAAAAGGAATAGGTTAGTAAATACGATAAGAGCTATTCTTCGCGCCAAGCGATTTTCTCTTTGTAACTGGACTGTTTTCTGATTGGTCCTTTTGAAATCGAGGTACATATGACCATATAAGGCAATGGATATAATGTACAAAAAAACGCCGATTCCTCCAATTGTTTCCATCACAGGAAAATGATYGCTGTTGGACTTTGGTACACATGTATTGTCAGTATGTCTTGAAAACTGTTTGGATGTCATGAAACTAATAGCAATTGAAAAGGAGCAGCTCCACGCCATCACCGTGGCAACCCGACACGTTGCCATGGTGATCCTGATGTGTGGTCTCATGCAGTAAACCACGGCTAGGTACCTTTCTAATGTCATGACAAACGAGAGCAAAGAACTTGAAATCTGACCAAGGAGAAATAAAAGACCAACAATCCTACAGAAGTATGACTTGAAAAAAGCATCAAACTCTTTCTTGGTCATGCTCTGTCTGGTAGACACGAGGATTATCAAATAAAACGACATTAACAGGTCACCTAGAGCGATATTAGCCACAAGAACGTGTGCTACAGACTCTCGTAGAACTCTGCTTCTCAACGTTGTGATAATGACTGCTATGTTGGAGAGTAGAGACAAAATGCCAACGATAGAGGTCAGGATGTGCACCAAAGATACGAGGTGCCAGCAAGTCTCAACCATGAGAATATAGAAGGTCGATCCTTTGGTGATGTAAGCGATTTTTTTTCGTACTGTTGGATCTATGTAACCCGATATCATCTCGCATCGAAAACCAAAGCTGAGATTACCCACCACATCTAAGAAGCTGGAATCACGGAAGACCAGCTTTGGTGTAAAACATGTAGAGGGTGTCAAGACACGAAGTTGTTCGTTTGGATTCTTGGTCTTGATTAATGTTGTATTTTCCGGCATCGCCATCGTGGTTTTGTCAAATGGTTCAGACTTGTTTTGGTTCAGTGACTCGCTGTTTTTTACTAAGTAGCATCTAAGGTTATATGGAGTAAAATGCACATTGATAAAGAGGAAAGCAACCCCTTGAAGATTTTGTAGAGAAAGGATGCGATGGTCAGGGATCCAGAATGGGTTTTTTTCAACATTGAGGAAACGAAGATGAGGCAGGTATCTTTTTATTCCAGATGTGTTCCAGGCTGTGATGTTGTTATCTGAGAGGTCTCTGTAATGAAAAAGAAAAAATATTTAACAATGGAGTCTTGGAGTCGTGGTCAGTGACGGGGGACTGTCTGTATGTCTGTCTGTCTGACTCCCCGGGGCGGGGGGGACTCTCTTAAAAAGTGGGTAGGGGGGCTCGACGGACCTTTTAGGTTCAGCTTTGTTCGTTTTGAAAAATATCAAACGTCATACAAGAATAAAATGGTTGGAAACGTCATTTTAAATGTGGTCGTACCTTTTAGGGTCAGAAATCAGCATCTCAGTTAATTTATGCGTACCTTTTAGGGTCATTTTCAAAACCGTCTGTCGAGCCCCTCTACCCACTCTGTATGTCTGTTTTCTGCCTGCCTCCCTGCTGTCTGGCTGTCTGCCCGCCTGCCTCTCTGTCCGTCTGTCTGTCTATCTGTCTATTTAAGTGTGTGAGGGAGGGGTGTGGGGACAGGGGGGTCATTGCCCACCAATTCTTTTGGCCAGTATAAATTAAAGTCCCTTTCTAATTTGTTGTAAAAAATATTTTAAGATTACTACAACCAAACAAAGCCACACTGCCATAATAATTAAGCATGATATATTTGTACGGTGTCTGGTGCCTCCCAATAGTGACATCATGATCTATTGTTCTCAGTACAGTTTCATTACCTGCCCCTAAAAGCCACCCTTCAATGTCCTCGTTTAAGAATTCTAAATGTTTTCTCTGATTTTACTAGACATTTTTGACAATAAAAAAATATATTGACGTTAATAATAATAATCAAAGACGCTAATCGAAGTCTTTAATTTCCTGACCCTTACAGAACCTTAGGCTGCGTTCATAATGTATGGCAGAGGGGGGGTCAGGTGAAATTGAGGGATGACCGAGAAAATTTTGGTAGGAAAAAGGGGGGATGGGCAAATTTTTATCAGAAAAATGGAGGGCATGCACAATTTTTGGAAGAAGCTACAAGCCATGCTTAGGGGGGATCGTATTTTTTTGCATGACTTTAAGGGGGGTGTTAAGAATTATTCTGGACATTTCAAAATTTTCACCTGCCCCTCCCCCCTCTGCCATGCATTATGAACGCAGCCTTAAAACCTTGATTGATACAGCGACCGAAAATCGCTGTCTGGAATTCTGTTTAGTGTTTAGGGATCATAGAACAACCTACATCTCAAGTAGTTTCGTCAAGCCATTAAATGCTCCCTCGCCGATTGTCTGAATGTTATTCGACGCCAAGGACCTGTTGATTAAAAAACTAAAACGTAAGTATGAACCGCTCCTTTTTCCTTGAGTATTATTTCTTTCTTTAGTGGTTAACAATATGCACACTAGGCAACGCTATTCCAAGCAATGATTGGATACTTTTGTCTCTATTTTTTGTTTTAGAATGTTTTTCCCAAACCACTGCTTATCGAATGATTCATTCTGGGAAGGAACACGCATCGAGGGAAAAAAAMCTCAGGCAAATGAAAATGACGAATTGACCGTTTCAACTTACAAGTAGGTCAGGTTAGTGAAGCTTATGAACGAACCACGTGGAAGTCTTTGTATTTTGTTGTTAGAAAGATTTCTGTTGAAAAACCAAAAAAATGGAATAACCGTATTTTGGCTGCGTTCATAATGTATGGCAGAAGGGGGGGGGGGGGGGGGCAGGTGAAAATTTGAAATGTTCAGAATAATTCTTAACACCCCCTCCCCCTTAAAGCAAAAAAATACGATCCCCCCTAAGCAAGGCTTGCAGCTTTTTCCAAAAATTATGCATCCCCCCGATTTTTCTGATAAAAATTTGACCACCCCCCATTTTTCCTACCAAAATTTTCCCAATCCCCCCTCACAACAACAACCAAGGGCCTACCAGCCTTGCTATCATGTTTTTGGTACATTACAAATGCTTATAACTCTGCAGTGACCTAATATATGACAACAGAACTCTCCGAAATGACTTTATTTACACATGGTCTGTTTTGTTACGAAAATATATATTTGAAATCATTTGAACGATTAAAATAATTATTAATTAATTAATTAAAATTGTTTGTAGTGCTCATTTGCAGTCTTACACTCGTTTTTCATATTGTCTATAGTCCAATAGTGCTGAATACACTAACATCTGTTACACGGGTTTATTTTTCACTCAATTAATAAGCTCCGTGATATGAACTGGCACATGCCCCCCCCCCCCCCAAATTTTTAAACAACTATTTTGAAAAGAACAAAAATCGAAAAAACCAAAACAAAACATATTAAACCAAAACGAAAGAGGAAGATAAATTATTGTAACCTAGGAAAGTGCGCTGTAAAAATCAGTTTATACGAATACGAATTTGTTTCTTTTTTGTTTGCGCGTTTATTTGTTTTGTGGGAGGAGGAGTAATTTTTGGGGGGGGGGGGGGGGGGTCAGTGCCCCCCCCCAGCTCCTAGGTCCTCGCTACGCCCCTGTTTAATAAATGTTCTAATATTGTTAATAAAGACTGATGAAAGTAGCTAGGGCAACTACTAGCGAAGACAAACTTACAGCCTTTCAACGACCTCAGGAGATTCGATCAAATGTTCCAAGTATGACAAGTTAGTCATGTGGCATCTGACGATGAAGTCACTTGAGCAGAGACAGCCCTGCCGGTCACGTGAGGTACAGACTGTCCAATTGAAATCGCTGCTCAAATGTCCTGGAGTCACGTGATGTGCGAAGAGAAAGAGCAAGAGAGAGAAGATCGGCTTCGGCTAAAATAGGCCATAAAAAAATGAGTAAGAAAAAAAACGAAAAAAAAAAAAAAAAAAAAAAAAAAAAAAAAAAAAAAAAAAAAAAAAAAAACCAACAAAAAACCAACCAACAAACAAAAGAAATACAGCTAAAATGAACCGAAAGTGAAAGATATCAAACTGGTATGATGGCGAGGTATTTCGCGTGTTTGATGATTTGATTAACGGGCGGTAATTTAGATATTCTCGTTGAACTTTTGGCAGCCATTTGACTTTATACACCTATTTCCAAAAACGTTGTCATGTCCAAAGGCGATAGGTAATAGGCGATCGGCGAAAAGATATAGGAGATAGGTCATTTCAAGATCCAAGAATAGCTGGAATGACTTGTGTTTCTGCTTCTTATTCTCGTCAAGAATATAGACCTTAGTGTTGAGACTGATTCAATGTTGTTTGTGGTCGACGAAACCATTTCCATGTCGGAATGAGCTATCGCCTTTAGCGACGATAACGTTGGTTGAAATAGGTACAGTATATATAGCGCTCTATCAAGGGACGTTGTCCATAAAAACAACGTTCGCTTAAACTCGTGAAAAAATAAAATAAAAAATAAAAAAGAAAGAAAGAAAAAAACAAACCTCCTTGTATGTTTTTCCCATCATTTAAACGCCCAAGCTCGAGGAATAAATACTGTAGTTGGTTACAGCTATCTTGACGCATGCAGTTATTTGACCTTTTTTCCCTAATGCAGCAGTATATAACTTATATAAGTTTGTTTATTACACTAGATAAAACAATTCAATTATTCAGAGCATGATTGAGTTACTCAAACTTTATTAAAACTTTGAATCCAAACTTTATTAAATTCATTGCAGGAGTCAAGATTATTGTTTGTGGTCTTTGCGAGAAGTAAAGACAACATTAAGTTGTCAGTTTAGTCATCCAAACTGGATTATTTTTAAACTGTGATGATGTAGAAAAAAGTAGGAAAAAAGTGCTCATTTCAAGGTCCAAAAACGCGCTGTCTTACTTGCTTTTGTTATTTCCATTCGAGAAATGGTTTTTACTTTCGTTTGTTTTTAATGAATTCTCTCTTAGTTTTTTGTTCCTTTCTTTATATATTGTTTACCGTATTGACACCTGACATTCGTGAGAGTGCTGAGCTGAATAAGGATATCATCTTCTTTATTTATTCATTTGAAGAAAAAAATTAATTTCGCTGTTATTGTTTGGCTAGGCTGTTGCCCATCATATTACTGACATGAAGACACGAAGAAAGTTTCAAGAGTCTTTCAAGTAAGCAGACAAAAAACATATAAACGGACAGACAGACAAACAAAAAAATGGACAGAAAGACAAGGAAACAGACAGACAGACAAAGCAGACAGACCTGAAACCATCCCCTAGAAAATTGGAATGACAGACAAACAAGCAAAGAGACCGACTGACAATCAAACAAAGAGACAAACAAGCGACGGACGGATAATCATGCAGAAAGACAAACAAACAGACTCAAAATAGACTGAGAGACGGACAGACAGACAGACAAACAAGCAAACAACCTAAACTGATTGGTACATTAGCATCACAAGTTCAAGGATCATGAGCCATTACGTTCATCTAGTTTAAAACGTACTCTTTCAGCTATACTATTCGGTCAGAAACAGAATTATTGCAATTAAAATAATGACAATATCGACGAAGTTGGCCACAAAATTTACTGTTCCTAAATGAAAACAGAATGGGATTAAGAAATGGGTTCAACCCCACACACGCTATCCCAAAGGTTCTCCAAAAAACCTCCAAAGTATTGCTGAATTTGTAGTTTTTGAATATGTAAAAGATAATTGCAAGTATTAACGCAGGTAGAATTAAAAAGAAAATGTTTGTTAATACAATGGGTGCAATCCTTCGCGCCAAACCATTTTCTCTTTGTAGCTGGGCTGTCTTCTGATTGGTCCTTTTGAAGTCGAGGTACATATGACCATATAAGGCAATGGACAGAAAGTACAGCGCAAGTCCTGTGCCACCTATGTAATGGAAAACTGGTATGTCGTTAACTTCAATATGGGGAAGGCACATGTCGTCAATTGAAAAGCTTTCATTCGTCACAGAACAGGCTGCAAGTGAAGTCGAAATACTCCAAACCATCACCATGACAACCCGACACGTTGGCATGGTGATCCTGATGTGCGGTCTCATGCAGTATACCACAGCTAGGTATCTCTCTAAGGTCGTGATCAATGAGAGCATACAATGAGCGAACTGCCCAGCTACCAAGAAGGAACCAACAAGTCTACAGTAGTATGGTAGATGAACGCGATAAAACTCCTTCATAGACAAGCTCCGTCTAGTAATGATGAGTGTTATTGAATACAATGACATCAACAGGTCACCCACAGCGATATTAGCCACGAGAACGTGTGCTACAGATTCTCGTAGAACTCTACTTCTCAGTGTTGTTATGACAATGATCAGATTGAAAACCATGGCCACAAGTCCAAGACATAAAATTGGAATATGAACCAAGTTTACAGTATCCCAACAAATGTCTACCATAAATATATAATACCACGGCCTTATTTTATCATTTGTGTGGCTCAGTTTGCGAGATGTCATTTTTCTGTCTTCACCACCCAGAAAACTCTTGTCGCGTGGCACAACCTGGCAATGGAAATACAATTCCTGCTCCTTTATAACATTTAGAAAGTTACTATCAGGAATATTGATGCTTCGTTTTATGCAACTTATCTTGTCATACCATGCAAAAGTGGTGAAGTCAACTTTCTCCTGAACATTACTAGGCAAGATTTCGCTGTAGTTTTCATTCCCTAATGTCATATTTTGTCGAATCAAATAACATCGAAACGATGATGATTCGTGTATAGTGACCTCCAGCAGGAGATAGATGACCTTCAGGTTTGGTAAAGACAGGATGTTTTGGTCAGGCTTCCAGTACGTGTTGCGCGCAACGTTCAGTAAACTGAGGCTTGGCAAATCTTGTCCTATTGACGTCGTGTCCCATTGTTTGATGGTGTTGTCCCTGAGATTTCTGCCAACACAACAAAAACAGCAACAATGTTACAGAAAGTCAAGAAAAAGTTTATTTTTGAAAATGCTACCGCAGTAAGCTGTAATTCAGAAGGCGCAGATCAAGACATGCAATGTGAAGGTGCCCACAACAGAGACCGCTCCATTCGTCCACCCCTACAATTCTACTGGACACTGTGTTCGTATACATCGTCACATGTGTAAACAGAACGGCGCGCTGTTCGTGGTATATACGATGCCGTATCACGTGTCCATCCCTTTGACTTTTTTCACGAAGAAAAACAATTTTTAATAATTTTTTTGCAGCCTAAGAAAAGCTGTATCATGCCGATTGTTACACAATTTTACATCGTGTAAACCTACGTTTTTGAAGATGTTATAAATAATCTAGATCTAGTATAGTAAAGGGTTATTTGTGTAAATATACTTACAGTTCTCTTAGTCGTGCTAAACCATAGAATGCTCTTTGGCTAACAGTTTGTATACTATTGTTCGCTAAAGACCTAAAAGAAGAAAAGGCTAGATGCATGAGCCGAGCCATTCAAGGAGCCGTATACATTGTTCCCGCTACTTATATAAAGTATGCTTGTAGAAGGACTTACAGGGTGACCACACTTTTAAGGCAGTAAAGTGAAGTACTCTATTGGATTTAATGAGATTATTAGGACAAAAGGAGACTATCAGATCTACTCAGGGGCGTAGCGAGGACCTAGGAGCTGGGGGGGGGCACATTATTTTTTGTTATTTCCTAACTTTATTATTAAATCAAAATGCGGACAAATGCCATTATTTTTTACATAATTATTTTTGTACTCAATTGAGGCGAACTGGGTACAAAATTGAAGTAGTGCCTGTTGCTTTTTGTTCTTTCCAATGACAAATGATTAAATAATAGGAAGCCCTAAAAATGATGAAGGGCGCGGACAAGAAACATTTTTTTTCTTTTTTACTTGGCCTTAATTGGTCATTTTTGTTTCTGTTGCAGATATGGGACAATGAGAGAAAATGTTCGTAACTTAGAAGTAGTYCTTTCTGATGGAACCATTATTGATACAGCTGGCACTGGTAGAAGGACAAGGTAGTAGTTACAAATGTGGCTATCAAAGGAATAGAGTGCAAACCATATAATTATCCAAGAAATAGCACAAAAACTAAATAGCACTAAACACATCTATTTCTTATGTTTTTAATTGATTCATTGGTGCTATTTTGTTTTAAGTAGTTTGTACTATTTCATGGATATATGGTTTGCACTCCATACTTCATTTGCAATCTCATGTAGAACATTTACCAATAGTCACGACCTCTTTACCTTGGGTGTAATGTTCTCCAAATTCAGGCCATTGTGTCATTGTCTTAAGAAAACTATTCTTCGTTTGAGTTGTATTCATATTTATGTGTCTTCTCATGCACAACTGTTAAACAGAGAAATGATACCCTCAGGAATGGAAAGTAGTCTGAAATGGGAAAACATTACACCCAAGGTAAAGAATCATATTATTAAAATCGTAAACATCTTTCCTCCATATTGGCAGGAAAACTTCTGCTGGATATAACCTGACAAACCTGTTTACGGGATCAGAAGGAACTCTGGGTATTATCACCCAGGCAACAATTAAACTCTATGGTATTCCAGAGGCTGTAAGTAGAGTATTTTCTGTTCCTATCATTCTAGACAGTCTCCTTTGCAGCCATCATTGGTTTCCATCATAGATCTTCCCTCCCTCCCTTTTTTACTTCCTTCTTTCCTTTTTTCCTTTCTTGTTTCCTTCCTAAATGTTTGCTTTCTTGCTTTCTCCTTTCTTTCTTTCTTTCTTTCTTTCTCCCTCCCTCCCTCCCTCCTTCCCTCCCTTCCTTCCTT